CCTGCAGATTTAATGAGGCACCAATGATCTTATTTGTAAGCCTTTTCCCGGTCACTAAGAGACAATTCGTCTTGCCGGCGTTCATGACCATCTTGCTGGCAGCCGACCACTGCGAAACGTCATCTTGGTCTTGTTGAAGAGCTGTTGTAATGCCAGGAAGTCCATTTCTCAGTTTGGAATAGAAACGGAAAGTAGTTTCATCCGCATAGATGTCGACGGTAGAACGCTGTGTTGCTATGGGTAGATCATTGATGAAGAGAAGAAGCATAACGAGACCCCAAGATGCTTACTTGTGGTACTCCAGCTAGTCCTGTCACAGTTCTTGGGAAGGAACCACATCCGTGAATGACTATTTGCTATTTGCGTCCCCTCAGATAGTTGCGTACTTGACGTCTTGTTCGATATCACGTACCCACAACCATTCAGTCTCGTTCGCAAGAGACCATGGTCCACGAGGTCAAATGCTTTCTTAGTGTCAACAAACACTAGCCCGAATGCTCTCTTTTTGTCTGAGAATGAGAGCACTCCCGGTGGAGTGTGTAATGTTGTTTGAATACAGTTGTGTCCATTGTTGTTTGAATACTAGTTCTGTCCATTGACTTTCGACCGTACACTGTTTATGACTGGCAGTCTGCAAAACGCGCCGAGGGTTTGACTACTCGCCCTCTCCATTTCATCGCTACCCGTGGAGATAGTGAAGCTGGTTCTTGATGTTTCACTGGTGATTTCTGCACTGGGGCTTTGGGGTGTATTTCTTGACTATCGTCTGCACTGGGAGTGGCACTTTTCTTTGGTGCTATGCTATCTGAGGGATTTGGATGTAGGCTCGGCTCGTAGGGGTGACATCATCTCAAACTTGCTTTTGCACATGGATTCACGTGTGCGCCTAAGATGTCTCCTGTTTCTTCTATACACTCGTCCATCCTCCGTTCGGACCTGGTACGATCGGATGTCAGCTTTTCCTTCAACTTTCGCAGGAGTCCACTCCTTCTTCTTTCTTAGCTGAGAGCGTTGCGGCTGGATGTGGATTGTGTCTCCTGGGTGTGAAGAGTCGAGGGTTTCTGTTGGGGTGTTTCTACAATCTAGCAGGGCTAGATATGGGTCCCGTCTGGGCTTGGCGGCCTTCTCGAGGAGAGACTTAGCAGTCTTGACGGCGTTTTCTACCTTCCTGTTTGACTGGGCATATGTAGGGGAGCTTGTCACGTGCTTAAAGCAGTAAGTGCTAGCAAACTCACTGAACTTGTCTTACGCAAATGGCTGTCCGTTGTCGGATACAAGGTGGTCAGGTATGCCATGTCTGGCTAGATGAGCTTTGAGCTTCCTGATGACTTATCAGTTGTCTTCGTAGTCAGACTATCGACTTCAGAGAAGTTAGAGAAATAATCAACAGTGATCATGTAGTCTCCACCACTCAGCTCAAACAGGTCTACTGCAATCTTCTCACACGGTCTGGTTGGTATCTCTGGACAGATTATTGGTTCTTGGTTTGTTCCACTGGCTGGCTGTTACAGACAACACACTGGGCGATGTAGGTCTCGATGTATTTGTTCATTCCTGGCCAGTACAGTACTTCTCTGGCTCTGCGTAGGCAGTCCTGAATGCCTATACGGCTAGCATGAATCTTAGTATTCATCTCTTCTCTGGCACTTTCAGGTATAACTAACCGTTCACCTTTAAAAACCAATCCATTCTAGAGTGTCATTTCTTCTCGAAACGGGGAAGTATTCCCTGAGTTTTACTGGAAGGCGTTCTTTATCTTCTTCCTAACCCTCTCTTATGGTGTTCTTCAATTCTTTTATGACTGGGTCTGCTTCTGTGGCTGTGCAAATAATATTCTGTGTTGTCCCAGACACCGGAAGGTACTGGAC